TGACCCTCTCTCAAGAATTACTGTTCCTCAAAATGACTCTCGAAATAGGCTGCCAGGACTCAGCAGTAGGAGTAAGTGGACCACCAAGAAGGCCATGCAGTGAATGGAAATGGCAGAAATTATATATCACAAATGTTATCACATTTGGAGATTGTTTCTAATTTTTTTTTAAATATATTTTATTGATTTTTTACAGAGAGGAAGGGAGAGAGATAGAGAGTCAGAAACATCGATGAGAGAGAAACATCGATCAGCCGCCTCCTGCACATCTCCCACCGGAGATATGCCCGCAACCCAGTTACATGCCCTCGACCGGAATCAAACCTGGGACCCTTCAGTCCGCAAGCCGATGCTCTATCCACCGAGCCAAACCGGTTTTGGCAAGATTGTTTCTAATTTCAGTTCCATCACTCATGAGCCAACAGAAATGTGTCTACCTGAGTTTCTGACTATATTACTTGCACCTATTTTATTAGTTAAGTTCAGGCTCTAAGAAAGGTATCTGTTCAGTAATTCTCTTCATTTGGGTGGCAGATAAAGCACTAAGAAGGTGATTGATATGTCAAGGATAAAAATAAGCACTGGCTAAGCAATTACATTACCTTGAATCACTTCACTTGTGCATGCTTGTGTGAAGCACAGCTAGTGCCCCAAATGTGAGTAAGAAGGCCTTCTCTCATTAACTGGTCCTGTCGACCCTCAGATCAAGGCAGAAGACAGTTAACAGCTGAATTTATACCAGGGATCAAATAGGAAATGCAATCAATACAAGGACATCAATACATGGTACTGTTGTTTTTCAGGCAGACTGAGAAACATAAACTCTTATGTGAGAAAATACAAGTGAGTATTGCTAGAATATAGAATCAGGTAGCCTGGCTTACTATGTAGGGAAGCCACATAACTGTCTTCTCCAAACCCTTGAACATCCAACAAGATGAAGGTCGTTCATGTCCACCTTGTGGTCCTATAGGAACTACTAAAAAGTAGTTGACTTTTTAGATGACTTGGGGTCCTATAGGAACTACTAAAAAGTAATCTCCCTTCCCGGGTTTGCCAGAGTACCACACTTTTGTTTTTACTAACCTAAAATGACCACAACTAGTGTCATTTCTTTGGGTTCAACCACAAACATAGGAGTGTTGTTTCCCTATACAATATTAAAATGTACCTGTGACTTATGAGGAAAAGGAAAGACTCTGGGGACTGTCTCTATTTTTTTTTATTCCAAAGGTCACACGAATGCAATCCAAATCAGAAGTTTCAGCTACCCTAAGAGGCTGGGGTGGGCAGAATTCAATAGTGGATGAGGATGGAGGAAGGCTCAGAGCAGCAACTCCGGAGAGAGGCCAAGGGCAGGTTTCAGTGAGGTATGGCCTTGACAGTGGACTGCAAGCCTCTCCATGGCCAAGGCCCTGGCTGATCCACCTTTGTATCTTCAGGGTCCTAAACTTAATAAATATGCAGTGAGTACATGAACAACTGCTAGACTGTTGTAAGAAGTGCTTATGAATGCAGAGAGAGAGACAATGGGCTGGAAAACTAGAATAAAGTGATGAGGTATACTTTTAGCTAACCTTAGGGTTAAGTAAGTATTCAGAAGGAAGCCAGGATCCAGAAACAATTGCTGAGATAGTTGTGGTTTTTCGAGGAACTAAGAAGATCCCAGAACTGGAGGAGCTAAGTCCAAGGGAAGAATGGGCAAAGGAAAAACTGTCCACAAGGGTACTTTCTTCCGGACAAGGGAATCCTATTTTTACTCTTCTATACAGTGTTGCTTTTATAAATTTTCATCCTAATGATGTTATTGCAAGAAGCATAAAAATCTATTTTTCTAATTAAATATGAAGCTCCTATTTTCATACTTATTAAACACAGGAGGAAACACATGTGGGGTTATGACAGTAATCCAAAGACTATGTTTATTTGCAGTTAGTTGATTTTGTGCATGCATATCTACTTGTCAACATACGGTTTATGTGTATCTGTTTCTGTCTGTTACACTATTTCACAGAGAGCATTTGGATCATAAATGAAATTAGTTTTTACCTCCTTTTAGTCCTAAGATATAGTTGTGTATGTTTTAGCATTTGATTCCACAGTGCGATTATATATATATATTTGTGCAAATGAATTTCATGTGAATTTTAATTTTTAACTGTAAAAATTGACTTTTGGAGTTTGTAGGGTGTTGGGTAAGCCTTTGAGGTAATCTCTTTATCATTATACTCCAAGCTGAGGGGTTTCTTGAGAGTAAATATGCTGAGTATATCAGTTTTCTTTTTTAGCAGTACTATCACAACAGTTAGGTGGGATCTTATTTTGGTTGGAGGTAAAGAAAGAGGGAACTGCTGGTGGGAATGTAGACTGGTGCAACAACTATGAAAAGCAGTGTGGAGTTTCCTCCAAAAATTAAATATGGAACTGCCATTTGACCCAGGGATCCCACTTCTAGGAATATATCCTAAGAAACCGGAAGCACCAATCAGAAAGAATGTATGCACCCCTATGTTAACAGCAGCACAATCTACAATAGCTAAGACATGTAAACAGTCCAAGTGCACATCAGTAGATGAGTGGATAAAAAAGCTGTGGGTACATTTATACCATGGAATACTATGCAGCAGAATAACGAAGGATATCTTACCCTTTGAGACAGCATGAAGGGACTTGAAGAGTATCATGCTAAGTGAAATAAGTCACTCAGAGAAAGACAAGTGTCACATAGTCACACTCATATGTGGAATCTAAGTAACAAAATTAACTGATGAACAGTGTGGATCCAGACACATGGAAGCATGGAAGAGTGTGGAATCTCAGAGACAAGCTAAGGGAGGGTGGGTGGATAGGAGGTAATCAACCAAGGACCTTGTATACATATATGAATAACCCATGGATACAGACAATAGGGTGCTGAAGGCATGGGGGGGGGGCTGGAAGGGGTCAATGGGGCAAAAAGGGGACATATGTAATACTTTCAACAATAAATAATTATTTTAAAAAAATAAAGAGAGAACTGACATAAACAGGGGAAGTGACTTCAAATTTTCTTTTGGTTCATCTGAGTCTGTTCTTTAGCAGATGGTGGATACCTACACCCTTCAAAGGAAATGCAGAGTGACTTCTTGCTACATAGCGAGCTAGTGCTTTTTTGTCTTTACCTTTTGCTTAAAATACTATTGAAAACTATCTAAACCAGTCGACTCCTAACTTAATTTCTCCATTTCTCTAATGTTTTCTGATTGACAAATCAGAGCAAAGGCAAAAGATATGCCCTTCTGTGAAGTCTGAGCTCTGACCCCAAGTTCTTATTTATAGAGTCGGGTCACTTTCCTTGCCCTCCATTGGTGCCTGGAATGCTCCACTTGTCCTTAAAAATCCATTCCTGGGCACATATTTTTAAAAAGTAAAAAGACATTTTTAAATGTGAAAGTCTTACCCTACGGAAGCACAAGGCAATCCAAAGATAATAAGGAAATATGCCAGAGGGCTCCTCAAGTTTTAATTCCCCATTTGCTTGTGTATTTAAAAAAACAAAAACAAAACTTTCTGAAAATGAAGAATTATCCAGACTCACAAAGCTGGTGCTGTCTGAGAGAACCCAGCTATAAATTCACACTTTAGACCCGGCCTTCTTTGGCGGATAAAGAAAAGAGTCACTACTGTTCACACTGAGCGACATGTGTGAATTCTCACTCCTGGAAGGGCTGGCTGGTGTGTGTCAGGACAGGTGTGAAAGCAGGGGAACCAGGTAGGAACATTTCAGCGGTGCAGCTCGGGGGAGACGCCGCCGCCCCTAGCAGGTGGCCACCCGCTGGGCTGTGCTGCCTTGGTTTCTCTGCGCGCAGGCGTTGGAGACAGAGAAGGAGAAATGCAGCAACTTCGGAGCAAGCCCTCGCCTTGCTTTGGAAGCTTCGTTTGCCCTCTGAGGGTGAAACCTCTGAGCCAGGAGCTTGCCTGGGACAACTTATCTCCTGCAGTACTCCCGCGCCCTGCCCGGCCGCTGCCACTGGCGCCCCCAAGCGCCGCACGCCCCAACTCTTCTCGGAGCCTCCTTCGATCTTCGCAGCAGCGAACCGGACTTGGGGAGCCGCGGGGTCTGGCAGGAAAGTTTCCCATGGAATTCCCAGGGGCTAGGAGACAGGACGCCGAGGAAGGCGGCACGCAAAGGGCACCCTGTCCCCGACATTCCTCTCTGGGATTGCCTCTTTGCGAAGGGGCAGCTGCCTGGCGCGGTAGGGATGCCGGTGGAGCTGTGAGGCTCAAACCCAGGGAACACGCTGGAGCGCACCCCACTCCTCCCAGCCCCTCACAGACAGGGATAGAGGCTGCGTGCGTGTTTGGGTGGAGGGTGGAGAATACCGAGAGTAGCAAGTCCTAAACGCCTCCTAGGAGAGAGAAAGGACCATCTTTCCAACCTTTCTCGGGTGGCCTTTCCCGGGTTACACAGCCCCCTCCGGATCGCTGGGCACCGCGTCAGCCGCGCCAGCACAGCGCCCGCCTCTCGCAGCCCCTGGGAGGCACCGGCTAGAGCCCAGCCTGAGCGCACAGATCACAGCATTAACACCAAATGCCCCCCCCCCCCCCCCCCCGTCTCCTGCGGGGCTTCGCAGCGCTCCCCGCGGAGTCGCGGGCTGAAGAGGGACCGGGATGGAAGGAAGGGGCTGGCCGTCCCCAGGCGCGGCGGCGGAGAGCTGCTGTCCGCTTCCACATGGGCACCCCGTCTGTTCCCACAGGTCCTCCCAGCCCCTGGGGCTGTTGTTAGGCGTCAGGAGCCCTCACGTTCCCCTGGGGGCGAAACCCATTTTCTCAATTGCGGGGTGGAGGGAGATGGGAGGGGGGGAGAGGGAGAAACAGGAGGGGAAGCCGCCGAGGGGAGGCGGGGAGGGGGGCGGGAACATGGGGGGTGAGAAAAGCGTTTTCACTCTTTGTCACTCTTGAATTGGGGGCGGAGGGAAAAAACCACTAAGTGAAGCTATAAAAAGCCAAGGGGGCGGCGGCGGCGGCGGGAGCGCAGACGCGCGGAGCCGGAGACCGCGGGAGCGGAGCGCGGGACCGAGCGCCCGGAGCATCGCGGCGGCGTCCCTGGCGGCGCCCGGCTGCCGGCTGTGAACCTGGGGCGGACGCTCCGGGAAGCTGTGCGCGCGCGTGGCGGGACCTCGGCTGGCCTCAGACCTCGGGGGCTCGGTCTGGAGCGGTTCCTGATCTCCCAGGATAGCGCCGGCTGACGGTGCAAAGGCGGACTCCAGTAGGGGAGAAAAAAAGGGGAGAAAAGCAACGGAGGCCAACACTGAAGGGACTAGTGTAGACCTTCTGAGCGATCCGGAGCATTGGACCGCGGAGACCCGGGCGGGACCGCGGAGGTGCGGGGCTGAGTCTTCTGGCACCTCGGGTCACGCCTCCTTGGCGAGAAGGCGGGTCACCTTGGATTGCTTGCAGCTACTACAGAACTTCCTGCCCTGGTGGTGAAGTGGGTCTCGCCTGGGTCGCGCTAGCTCCTGGTTTGAGGCGTGGGACTGAGTTCGCAAGGTGCCGGGCCCCGCAGCCAAGAGGGGTTGGGGAACGGAGTCTCCGAGCCTCCGCGCCCCCAGTGAGTGGCCCGGTGTCGGGTCCTCCCTCCCCCGCATCAGGATCCCTCGGGCTTTGCGCCTCCCTCCCCGGGACCCCTCGCCCGGATATGGCCGCGTGGATGCGGGGCAAGGACTCCTCCCGCTGTCTGCTCCTACTGGCCGCGGTGCTGATGGTAGAGAGCTCACAGCTCGGCAGTTCGCGGGCCAAACTCAACTCCATCAAGTCCTCTCTGGGCGGGGAGACGCCTCTACAGGCCTCCAATCGATCTACGGGCACATACCAAGGACTGGCTTTCGGCGGCAGTAAGAAGGGCAAAAACCTGGGGCAGGTAGGAAAACACCCCAATGCGCTCTTCAACCAGGAGAGGGAGGGACCAGCGCGCTTGAGAAAGTCCTTTGCCTTGTGCACCTTGATCTTCCCAGTGCGCTCCCAGGTGTGGCGCGCGGGACAGGTGGGGAGGGGATCCCAGAGCAGATCTTCGAGGGTGGAGGAGGCCGGAGGAGCCCGGAGGCTGCTGCTGCTGCTGGAGGGCGTGGAGCGGGCGGGTTAGGGTGCGGTCTGGCCTTTGCATTGGGACGTGGGCACGTACAGAGATCTAGTGCCAACGGGTGGGGAGAGTGGCCAGAATGGTCCTTCTCCAAATGGAGCACAGCGATGCTGAGGATGATGTTAGTATCTAACACATAACAACTGGACGTGTTCTAAGAGTTTCACATATATTTCATCTTCACAACTCTATGCGCAAGGCGCGGTTACTGCCCCCATTCAGCACATGGAGAAATGGAAGCAAGGAGTAGCAGCTCTTTGCCCAAGGCATATGGCTAGTTGAAGTGGCCCCGCGAGCGGGATTCCAATCCCCAGAGTCTGCGCCTGGGTCCTGGACTCTTAATCATCCCCTTTTACAATCTGGAGGGGCGGAGTGCTTACCCCCTTTCACGTTCTTCTTTCCTCTCAAACACTTTGTCTCTGCAAAGAAGTAAGGTCCCAGACAGAAGGCTTCAATAGGCACACATTTCTCACGCCTGCAGAATTGTAAATAAATCACGCGGGAGGAAGCAAAATAAGGAAATGACAGTGACAGCATCCTTGGCGCGTCCGACCGGGTGCCAGCGATGTAGCAAGGAAAACCCCAGGGGCATTTTTTGCTAGAGGGAACTTTCCGTGGGCGTCTCTATGTCTCTGTCACACAGACAGATAGATTGACAGTCACATGTAAACAGTTACACAAACAGACGCACACAAAGACAGGAGCGCACACACTCGCAGTCCACACCAGCAGTGGTTGGCGCGCAGCGGCCAGGAGAGGGGGCCCTGTGGGCACTGGGAGCCAGGACAGCTCCTCCTTCTGCTCCTTTTGTAAGAAGCCAAAACCAAAAGCCAGTTTGCCAAACAGCACACGCACTTCGCACAACACAGCTGTCAACCCATGAAGGCAGCTCAGGGTCCCACATACCCGGGTTTCCTTGTTTCATCAAAGGAGCTCACTGCAGCCTCTCTGTGCGCTCTGAATGTCCTCCCTGCACCTTCACCCCAGCGCAAAGGTCAGGGTGAAGGGTGACAACTGGGGCCAGTCCTGGCTGACAGCCAGGGAAGTCTTGGCCCATGCTTGGCCTCCTCCTGCCCTCTCACGGGACAGCTTTGCTCTGTTTGCAGTTTCAGAAGGCTTCCTGGGCTTTGAAATGTCAAACATTTCAGCTCTCCTCTCCAAGGAATACAAGGTCTGCAACCACAGGATGTTTCTTAAGGTCTCAAGGGAAATAAACTATACATATGCATACACACTACACACATACATACCCTTTGCATATGATCACGTGTCACATATGTCCACACATACATGACTGCTATCCTTTTTCTCTTTCTTCAGAAACACCCTGGCATTTTCAATCAGAACGAACTTAACATATCCTTAGAAGTCCAGCATGAGATGGGGCAAAGGTTGTAAAGAAAAGATGCTCTCAGTTCAAATCAGCAGACATCTCTGAGGCAACTGACTTCAAATTCTACCTTATCAGCTGTTGAAAACAGATTGTTGTTTAGTTCAGCCAAGGACAGAGGAATGTACCCAATATTGTTTAGATTCCTTTTGATTCCAATCCACGCTCATTCAGTAGGTTTCTGTAGGGGACTTTCTGTATCCATCACCACTGAACCCCAACTCCCGATGTCCCTCAGTCAAATTGTCAGTTATGTCATCACTAGACATGGGGTTATACGGACTAGACTGAGGGATGCACCTCAGAACCCAGGTTTCCTTTATGTTTTGATAGTACGTTTATATATAAATATGCATAAAATGCCTGTTTATTTTCCTATATCTCCAAATATCTGTTGCTTAAACAGACTGCAACTCTATTTGAATGTCTTTATTAAACTAAAGGTTTATTTATTTTAAAAATGAGATGATTTTGGGGGGTTGAATTACTCATGTTCACTATAACTTAGTGGTACTACAGAATATATTTTATTATATTTATTTAACTGCGATATTATATCCTTAAAATTTGTCCTTAGGTTTTTAAGAGATTGAAACATATCAGAGATAATGGTAACATCAAATAAAACCCTGAACTGAATTGCTGGAAGATAGCTGGGAAATGGGAGGGTTGTCTTTTGTATATTCTGGAATCTCACTTGTTAGCGGGGGATGGCAAATGCATACTGTTGTAAAGAAACAAACAGAAAAATCTCTCTTCTTTGAAGTAGCAAGAAGATCCTTTGAATATTTATGAGTTTATTTATTTTCTAAATTCCATTAGTTATGTGGTCACCAAAATTCTTAATACTCTTATTTTTCAACAATGGAATGACAATTAGAAAAGACTATTCAAAAGGCAAGATGTCACTTCCTTTTACAAAGAAAAACTCTAGAATTGAAATGTAGCTAAGCTGAATTTTTATTCACCATAATAGAAAAATATGAATGGTTGAGAAGTTTGGAAGTATAGTGTCAAGTGGCCTAAATAATGTAGGGTCATCCTGAGGCCTGGTAAGTTCAATTCTCTCCCTTTCCTCCCATTCTTGACTGATGGATGCTGAAATATACGCATTTCAGAGATACAGGAATGAAGAGCTGTAGGATGCAATTTCAAGTAGGCTTATTAGGTACTTACTCTTTGGCCTTCTATTCTGTAGTGAAAATTGTCTACTTATTTGTGTGTTTTTTTTTCTGATGTACTTTCAGGATAGAGTCTCAATATAAAACATATATTGCCATTGCAGAGGAAACTATCCAAGACATTTCATAACTTATTAATCTACAAAAGAGAAAATGAGACTGAATGGGCCCCAAGGTTTTCTTGATTCACTGTAGCTTGTTTTCATATGAAGGAAACATTCTTACTTATAGGAATTCTACTTGTTATAGACCAGGTGGATTATTTGTAAATCACTCCTTAAAAATGTGCCTTTGAATTTCAGAAGCGAGTTGGAGGGCTGTCGGAGAAATCACAGTTTTCCAGAGGTGTTACAATTCTCATTCTTAGGTTTGCTTTCAAAGAAACAGCTATGAGCTATGATGGAAACTGACATAGAAAATTGAATGTACAAATATTCAGGGGATTGTAGAGAAGTAGTAAAAATGTTTTTACTGAATTATTCACATTCATGTGTTAATTTGACTTTGCATCTGCATCCATTGTTAATGAGTTTTAAGAGGGACTGTTTTGTTAGGACTGTTACTAATATATATGTGTGTCAATATTTATATACTTCAATTTCTAAAGAGACTATTGCAAATTTTCTAAATCAAATGTCATTTTAAACAAAATACTATCGTATGGCCAAATATATTCTAAATAAGTACACTGTTGCTTGACATCACCTATGGAATTTGAGATTTCAACTTTACAGGATATCTTAAGAACAAATTTAAAAAACCCGGCAATTTATGAAATCATTTTACCTTTGCAATACACAATGATTTTTTTTTGGGGGGGATGAAAATCCTTTTGGGTTTGGGTTTGTAATTGCTTCTTTTAGTCTTTACTCCTTGCTTTTTTTTTTTTTTTTTTTTTGACAAAAGATTAATTGATTTGAATGCCAGGCTATAGAATTTTAAAAAGTTATGAATAAAACTAAGGAAAAAATAATTACATTTTAAAGGTAGATCAGCTTCCTAACATGGGTCTCTAACAACAAGCTGAAACTGCTTTACTGTAAATTCAGATTCCATGATTTTCTAATATAACTTGGACCTTTGGAGGACAGTGGTTTGGATGAAGTTATGTTGTGAAAAAAGAATGTTTGAAATACATTGAAACAAAAGCTACAGGAAGTTGGTTAGAAAGCATTAATCTTTGTATACTGCATTTTCTTTAATAAAAATGGTGTATCTATTTGCATGTACAAACACGCATGAAAGTGCTTCCTGAAATAAACTACACGCTCTATTTTCTATGGGTCATCTCCTCATTTTCTGAAATTATCCATGATTTTTTTAACCCCAGCCCAACTTTCCCTCGCTGGAAAGTAAATATCTGCTATCTCCCGTGGACATCAATTGACACTAAACGAAATGAGGAATGCAAATCATTTTGAAATTTTCCAAAATTAAAAGATTTTGAACCAATCCACACTGAGGTTTCTTTCCTTTCACTGTGAATGATTGAGAATTGATGATAGTGGATACAGTGGAAGGTCACCTTATGAATAGCAAGAAAAGTATTTTAATGATAATCTAAGTATGAGCATCCATCATTTTATTTTTGCGCTAGACTAGAGAGCAAGGGACATGGTTACTTAAACTCACTCCAGCTGTGACTTGGACCCAACCATAAACTTCCTTAGTGCTTCCCTCTGACACAAACTCCTTCCCAGGATGTTTCAAATCTTGTATTTCTTAAAAGTAGAGAAAGCAATATAATAGAAAGGTAATTGATATATTGTGTTCTAGGAGAATATTACCACTTCCTTTTATTTACCCTGCACAATCATTTAAAATGTGCATTAAAATAATCTGTTAAATTATAGAGCCCTTTTATAATACTCAAATATTTACCATTTTCAACTCAGTCTCTTCTGAGTTAATTTCTTGGTATTGATGCGACATCGAAATAAATTACAATTTTATTTCTGTAACTCCCTGATGGCGCTTTAAAGTCATTTTACTTTATTATACCTCCAGCCACTTGTTCTCATGAAAAAAAAAAAAAAAAAAAAAGCAGGTAAAGCTAACTCCTAGATTTTATCTGATGACTAAATAGATTTAGTCAATTTTGTGTCTGCCTGTGTCTCTTAATGAGTCATTTAAAAATTTTTTTGAAAAAAAATTCATAATGATTAATAGATGGACTTCTGCATTGCATAGAATTGCTTTAAGGTTGCATA